ACTTAGAACTGCAAGTGGTACTCAGTTACAAAATCATAAAATGTACCATCATCGCGATAATATAGATGCCACTCTGATTTTAACAATAGACTTCTAGATGCTACGACTACCATAGGATATTTGCACATAGAAGTTTGATAACATAATAATGAGTGAAATATAAAAATATTAAATAAAAAACATTGCCCAATCTTAAAATCGATAGCTAGAGAAAATCGATTTTCAAAAACTGTACAGTCGATAACCTAGTAGTGTTGTACCTCAATAATATTTTTTAGGAGAGTAGTTATTACAAGTTTATGGAGTTTTAGAGGGAAACGTATATTGTGATTTTTTTCGATATTTTTATTATAGGTTACAATTGACTTTCAAACTAACAAAAAACTTTTAAAATAAAAATGAAAAACTTTAAATTTTATCTTCGCATCGTTTTCAAGAAGAGGAGTAGAGGAATTTTCTCGGGAGAGGAAGGGATGTGAACTTTCTTCACTTATAGTCTACCTAATGAACTACTCTATAAATGTGGAAAGTACTCAAGAAAAAATAATTCTGAGAAACCAGGTAAATAGAAAGTACCCTGAAAGAGAACTTAGTACTTTTTGTACTCGTCAATCATGAACTAAATTAGTGATGAATGAACTCAGTACTCAAACAGGACAAGAATTTGATTAAAATGGGCTGTATTCAGTCCTCGTCTAATTTCTTGATATTGACGTTGGGATGTCAAAAATTGGATACGTACAACAATACCTTACCTTCCTAATATTTTTTTCATGGTTTTGCCATATCGTGCGAAAGTATTTATGTATATAGTAATTCTAGCTTTGAGGAATATATAACAAAAAAAAATCGTCCTTATATTATGAGAAAAAATTAATACAAACAAAATAATATAATTATACATGAGCATATCATTATTGCAATCAATACATCAACAAATATACAATGATTATTTTAACCCTGAAGTTGTATTAAGTATTGAAGGCATTGGATACAGGAGCTAAATAGGCCAATTTTAAATTTATAAAAATATTTTAAATAAATTATAATTTTTGTTCACTATCTATATATTCCCTTATACCTAGCATATTTGTCTTAAAACAAAAACAAAATTATCCACCAACTCTATAGTTAAATTTTAACTTATAAATGATCACAGTTATGCTTAAAATAAATAATTAAAAAAAATTAAAATAAATAAAAAATACAAATATCTGCCAGGTGATAAATTACATGATACAAAATGCTTGGATTATTAAGATCAGTACATAAATCCAAACAGCTGTATAAATTATTTTTATAATGTAAATTACTAACTTATATATTTAATTACCACAATACTAACTGCCAGTTGATTTCATTTATTAAATAATAATATTTAAAAACTTAAACATAACATTATATCAATTTAATAAAGTATTACAATATTCTAAATATATAAATATTTGTATCTACTACTACCACTTAAAAAATTAAAATAATATCTAGATTTTGAAATTTAGAAAATAAAAATCTTACATATGTGGATAAAAGTCAATAATTGTTAAAATATATCGTCGATTTATTGCGAAAAGGCGTTAATTAAGTAGCAGTTCATAAAATTAAATCACTTAAGTGCTTTGATGAATTTCCTCTCTGTTACATCAAAAGATTTTACACTTAATGTTTGATCCATAAAATAATTGGAGTTATGAATTATTTGTATTCATAAATAACTTCAAAAAAATAGGTTTTTGTTTTTTATAAATCGAAGATATTAACAATTATACTGAGCGCAACGTAAGTAGATGTAAATATTTTAAAGGTTGATATCAAACATCAAGATCTACAAAAAAGTTGATATAAACAATTGCACAATTTATAGCAGAAAAGTAGATAATTTAAGATTTTTGTGTGATTTTATGTACAGTTATGTGATTTTATCAACGTGAAAAGAAACATGTGATACAGTAAATAAAAACATATTTCTTTGGTTAGATTAAAATAAACTGTATTGTAAGCAATCGTTTCTAAACTCCCTTGTAAACGCTTAGCGAATACGTATAAATGTCAGAGTTAAAAGAAATCTAAAAAGCATTCACTTCTTCCCTCTACATCACAGAAGAAAATGTTCAAAAAGAAATATGGGATAAGAAAAATGGTACCGTTAAAAAGGAAAAATAGACTCGTAAAGATGACGTCTAACAAGAAAAAATTGTTTTTTTTTAGTCACGTTCTTTGTTGAATAGAAAGCCATAACCTAAAAAATATTTGATTTAAGTAATCAAATACCTATGACCTCATGTCCCACAGTATCCTTTAATAATACCCCACTTATCCCTGTTGAACAAATCCGATACCTTGGACTTCACTTGGATAAACGTCTAACTTGGAATCCTCATACCAGACTGAAACGACAAGAAACCTCTCGACATTTCCGACTACTCCAACACTTACTAGACAAACGCTCTAAGCTTCCAGTTAATTACAAAAGACTTATATACATGACTACAATAAGACCTATTTGGACTTACGAGGTTGAGCTTTGGGGCTCCACTAAGCCATCGAATTCCTCTCGTATCCAATCCTTACAATCCAAAATCCTTCGGAAAATTCTCAATGCTCCTTACTTTGTCACCAATAAAATAATCCATAATGACCTTAATGTTCCTTATGTTTCCAATTTGGCCCAATCCAGATACCAATCCTTCCATAATAAACTTCAGAACCATCCGAATCCTCTCGTCTCTAACTTTGCTTCCTCTTCTATTCCTGATAACCCTCCGAGGCGTCTGAAAAGAAGATGGCCTCGAGATCTCTTATTGTAAATACATTTTGTTTTTAGAGTGCTACCAGTGGGTAGTTTCTCAACAAGTCATTTCATGTTATTATTTTCTGTTATCAAATTTACTTAATGTATTTAATTTTTTAATACAGTTGTAAATATCATGAATAAATAAAAATAAAAAAAATTAATCAAACGTTACTCAATAGTAAACTAGATATAATTTACTTTAAAGGAAATTAGAGTTAGTCATTTTCAATACTATTTAAAGAGGACTATTGGGCAGACAAACTAAGCCACTAGCGGATCTAGGATTTAATTTTTGGAGGAGGGGGCGTCAGCCCTACAGCTTTTTTTTCATATATATATAACGATAATTAATTCGAAAAAAAAAGATACTAACTAATATGAAATGGTATTTAAATGATTCTTTAAGTCCTATTAAATATAATTACACGAGCAATAATACTTTAAGAGATATTTTTTTTTTTTTTTTTTCCTTAAAACATGGTTACATTTTATTATTTTGAGGGGAGAGGCTTCATCCCGAAGATCATCCTGTAAACAAAGCTAATTTCCGCTTTTAAAAAAGAAGTATAAATTATTTTTAATTTTTTTAACACCAGTCAGCTGTTTCACATTTACCCCACTTTTAGAAAAACTTCCTCGTTTACTTTTAAGTCCATATTAATTAAGTTAGGGTTTATTCATAATAATTTAATTACTTAAATCAAATATTAGTTGTCGCTTCCTATTCAATAAAAAACTCGACTCACTTAAAAAAAAATAAGGTATGTGTTTTATACCACACGATACCAGCGAAGTTAATAATATGAAATACAAATTATCAATAATAGCTCATTGTAAAGAGGATAAAATGCTGAATATTTCCCTCGCTTACAGTATGCAGGTCCGATTTTTAGCTTCTGAGATATTTTAATCCATATCTTCCATAAAATCCTTAAAATTTGGGTATGCTGTTCTATTGCATCCCAGTATTTTTTCAATTATTTTGATTACATCTTTCCATATTGATAAATAAATGTTCTACATCAAAACAGACCCAACAAAATTTACCTATTGTCTATTTTATTTATCCTTTCAAGCATTTGATCCACTTCCATGAGTTTTTTACATCACAGTTCCTATCTGATTTTTGGTTATTGAGTGTGAAATTGAGATATTTAGCCAAATTTTTCAGTTTCCGATTGATATTACTGATAATAGGACTAAGTTGAGTGTCAATTTTATGTAACTTAACTAATTCATGTATTCTAGGTGTATTGTAGTTAGGGTTAATTAGTTTAATTTTGTTTAATAAGAAATTTTTAAAGTTAAGAACAAAATTCTATTGTATACAATTAAGATATCCAAACAAGATCAATATAAAAATACTATTGATGATTTATAATTTACTTATTTAAATTAGTGATATTTACTAGTATATGATATATTCAACGCCTGTATACTATTTATGTGGAAATCTCCAGTTTGAAGGTTATGTAATGTTATATTTTTATATATTTTCCATTCTGCCTAAGAATTTCTGCTATTACTATCATTTATATTATTTCTATTCTTATTTTTTATATATTGTTAATAATGTTGTCATTATTAATAATATATAAATCCCCGTTCCGAAGTCTACGCCTATGAAAATTTACATAATTAGTTTTACATAGTAATTTACGTAGATAATAATTTACTTTAGATATAATTTATTAAGATTAATATTTACAAATACTAGAATAATTTTCTGTAGGAAATTTAATTTTAGTGATATTAGGTGTATAGGGACGTTTTACAAAGTTCCCTTGCACTCTTCAAAATCTGCCAGTAGCCAATTTTCTCCTACTTGCGTGTGACCTTATTATATCTAGGTATACCTTTAAAGAGAGCGAGGTTGGCCGAGCGGTCTAACATCTGTGCACAGCACCGCCATTGCTCGACAACCAGATAAACGGGTACAAACATGATAAAATAATTACAAGTTCGCGTCCCTTCTCCCTCGGCCTGGGAAAATCCCCAAAGGGAAGGTACAAAGATATAGCAAAAGAAAAGCTATATCTTTGTACTTCAACCATAATTTTTTTTAATAATAACCACAGGACCTGATAGAAAAATAATAACTTCTACTTGACAACTTGTAGTTTATGAAGGTTGGAAAAAAATTAAAAAATAATGAATCAGAAAGTAGAATTTGGATATAAATAGCATTATTTAAAAAAATATTATTAAATGTTATCCATTATTCATAGCCTCCTAGGAAGCGAATCTCGGGTGACCGCCCTGGTCACCAGACTTACACAAAGGCCCTGTAAACATCTAGAAGTTGCCTATGTTCTTTCAGAGTAGGTTTGACTCCATTACTTCAATGTCTTTCCATCAGTCCTGGATAAAGAAGAATACTTTTCAGTGTTAAATTAAATAGTTATCATATCATTTATTAAATAAATAAATATTGTTATAGGGTATATAAAAAAAAAATGACCGTTTTATCAAATTCAAGATTTCAAAGGACTAAAAATATTCTTGTATATAAAAAATCCTATTAAATACTTACCGATACTTAATAATCTCTTTAGAGCATTCTCTATGCTTGTTTAACCCCATTCGATGTCTTCAAAAAAAAGCCTCAGTTTAATCATTTGTTTCAAAGAAGAAACATGACAGTGTCCTACGAAGGCATTACTGAAAAAAAATTTCACAGCCGCTGAAGCAACTCATAAAATTATTAAATTCGAAGGGGAAGGTGTCCTTGACTAGCACACTCAGCGACGTTGTTTTAAAAAAATTAACAGTTGAGATACGGCTTGGAAAGGAAGAATGGCTCCAGGCGACCATTAATGGATATTGATGAGGTTCTTCAGAAAGCTTTTGAGTCAAATCCGTCTACAAGTACACGTGAACTTATAAGAGAGTGTGTTGTGTCAAAAGATATTTTGAGTCGCCATCTACTGAGAGAGCAGTAGACTGGTCCCTCATGAACTTTCTCCTCAGAAATCAGCTAAGAGGTTAGAAATTTGTGAAAATTTGTTGAAAAGCCCTTGTCTAAAACGCCCATGCCTTATTCTCCATATAGTCCAGACCTCCCATCATCGGATTACTACTTATTTAGATCCATGGATCTAATGTATGGATAAAAAAAATTAGATAATTTTGCGGAAGTGGAAATTGCGGTCCAAGAGTTCTTTGACGGCCATCCCAAAGAATGGTATCAGCGTGGAATCGAGCAATTGGCTAGCAGATGGCTAATGACGGTAGATAACAATGGACTATACTTTGGGTATTAATTGTATTTTATATCAAAGAAATAATAATACAAATATTTGTTTGAAAATAATAATAATTGGATCCTATTACGATTGCCTTCGTATTCTCTGTATTCAACTTCAATTTGATATTTTTGGGCTTCTGCCCAATCGCAGATTTTATTTAAATCTTTTTTATGGCTCGTAAAAGTTCGGAAGGCTGAAAGGATAGAAACATTATCGATACAATACCATTTCTATCGATTTTCTAATCGATAAGGTGTTGTGAGTGATGGATTAGGAGACGAAGATCTTTAATATCAATCAAAAGGTTTTTTTATATATAATTTTATAACTTTAATATTTATATAAATATATAAGTAAATATGATATTACTTACTTTTTACCAATGTTTTCAGCTTCTTCAATAGTATCTGGCAGCTTGCAATTCAATGTCTCAGGAAAATAAAATGATAGACCTCCAGAGATAAAAGAAATTGTACCGAAGATTAACAATGGGTCAATATAACCAGACTGAAAATTACATTTTATACATAATTAATTATTTATTCATTCTATAAATAAAAAATAAATTTAGAAAATAATCGTAGATGTCTTTTAAATAAAATTTTAAATTGATATAAGACTTTCTGTTTTAATTCCAAACAGTAGATCTTTTTTTTTTTTTTCTGTTCTTCCCTACCTCGCCTTTTAGGCTATACGGGATTTTCCCGGACCAGAGGGTGAGGGCGGGGAATTTAAAATCCCCTCTGGCACTGGGACGCGAACTCGTGACTATTTTCATACCATAGAATCATATATCCGGTTGCCGGACAACGGCGGTGCAGTGCACACGCATTAGCCCATTTGGCCACCCCGCCCTCATACTCAAACAGTAGATCATCTACACCAGGGATCTTCAAAATTTTGGCCCACGGTATATTTTAAGACCTTCACTAATAGTCCAGTAAAATTAGGAATTGGCCCCAACATTCAAAAAATGAAGATAAAACTTGTCAGAAATTGTTCATTAAACCATTAAACTTAATTAATATAACTCCACAACTTGGAGGGGAAAAGTCTAGATGGGAGTGGAGGAAATGGATTTTAAGGGACATGGTACTTTTGCAAGAGCACTGTCATAAAATGCATGCAGTTGTCATCTCTTTTGCTGCATAAATCCAGGAGCAACTCCCTTTTCTTTCCTTTCCAAAACTGGAACCTCTGCCTAATGCAGGGGTATCCAGTAGGGGGTTTGATAGTGCAACCATCAGCATTTTCGAGGAGGGCATATATTGGCAGGTTTTTGAATATTTGAGGGGGGCACATTGCAGCGGGGTTATGAATTTTCAAAATAAAAAGTTCCAAACCATGAGACAACGGGAAAACATGGAATAGACAGCAGCAAGTATAATTGTATCTGATCTATGATTTTTCAAATTCTAGCTTCGCTTGCTCTGTTTTCAAGAAAAGTGAGCAATAAAATATCTTGGGAGTGGGGGACTAGGTTCTTGCGCCATCAACCTTGGGGGGTGGATGGGCATCCTTTGTGGTCATAAATAAATAAAATATTTACAATAATAATGAGTTAAAAGTAAAAATACAGAAGAAAGTGAGGGGAGGTTTTCAGCCCGAAAGCTTTTTTTTTCATATAAATAACGATAATTACTTTGGAAAAAAAATAATGAAACTAACTAACTATATGAAATGGTGTTCAAGTGTTTCATAAAGTCCTTTTAAATGTAATTACACGAATAATAATACTTTAAGAGATAATTTATTAATATTTTTTTCTATAAAGCATGGTTATATTTTACCATTTTTGTGGGGAGGAGGGGCTTCAGCCCCTAAGTTCCACCCTCCCGTATATCCGCTCGTGATACATGCATACCTCAGAGTGCCTTTTTTTTCTTTATTTCCTGGGTTAAATGTTCTCTTAAAATTGAAAACTTGATGTACCTCCCCCCCCCAAACAAAAAAATTCTGATGGTGCAAATTGTGCCATAAAACCCTCCTGTGGAAACCCCTGAGCACACAACTTCATTCATACTCGATATCAAACAATGATTAATGACATAAAATTTTCATATCTTATCGTTTTTTATCATTAACTCTGATATGAACCCTAGCTTATCTTAAGATAAAAATCATATGTCCCTTAACGAGGAATGTATCTTATCACTCTATTATGAATGCTACTTAAGTGTAACTACTTTTAACATACAAGGGCATTTTGCAGAGCCTAACTTTTTCCTCAATCCCTGCCATTTTTATTTTTTTTTTTTCGTTTTTTTTAATGTTTTACACAACATTGCCTAGTTATTGAGACAAGATTGTTGAAAATTTGTATTTAAATTTAATTTTAATTTAAAAAGTCCCTCTTTGAGCTCTCAAATTTTTTATCTGATACCTCTCCCTCTCCCACCCCTCCAATTTTTTATTCTATAACTACCTATAATGGTGTTGTACGATTTATTAAATAAATAAATTACTTACCAACAGAGGCATTTGAGGAGCAATAATTGAACCAACTCTTCCTAACGTTGAACAAAATGCCATTAATGAATGTCTCATCGTTGTAGGAAAATATTCTGTGGCAGAAACATACAATGATGCAAATGATACTGTTATCGAACATTTCCCTAACAAGAACAACACAAGACTCAAAGTTTGGTAATCTAAAAAAAAAAAAAAAAATCAATATTCAAATGAAACATAATATAAAATATTTGAGTCGTTTATTTTCAAATGGAACCCTATGTATAATTGACAAATTTTCAGGAAACAAGAAAAATTATATTTTTTTAAGATAAATATAAAAATTCTTTATTTATAGGGCATATATCCAAAAATTGTTGATTATTTGAATACTAATTAAAAAACATTTAAACTTAAACAGTCCCGCTTTTGGAATAAATAAACTTTAAGGTTTGTTTTAGAATGAAAAATATAGATTGGATTTTGTTTTGAAGATAAAAAACGGATTATGAATGGGATGAAAAAAGTTATTTAAATTTGACTGTTATTAGAGTTCTGGTAATGACCAGATTCTCCAATCAAGCCATCCATGTATATCTATGGTAATAGCACCTTTCCTCAGCCTCCATTGACTATTAATGCCAGTGATGCAGTTTAGTAAGAAGCATTGGGATACCCCAGAGTGTTGTTTTCCCCTCTGCAGGTGGGAAGAAAGACTTGGCTTAAAGTTCCTCTGAATGAATGTTTGTAAATATGTTAAGTATACCTGTATTTAAGTTGTTATTTTCATCTATATAACTATAAGGTTCTTTTTTGTTTTATATATATATATATATATATATATAATTATTATTATTTTGCAGTTATTTTATTTAATTTATTTTTATTTATTGTAAATATGGTGTGAACGAACTCTTTTATCACTGTTACTAATTGAATCTTGATTGCACAGAATGGAACATAACTCAATAAAAAAATGTACCATACAATTTTATTTTTTGTTTATAATATTGGTAAAATAAAAAATTTATTTTTAATTTTTATTGGAATAAAAAATTTATTTTTAATTTTTATTCGAATAAAAAGTTAAAAAAATCATTTAATGATTTCTGTTTTAATATTTAATAAATGCAAGTAAGTAAATTTGTATTCCTTGAAATAAAATTAAGGCTGCTTTGGAAATAAAATTATTTTCACATTACCTTTTTTAAATACATTGGATCATTTAGAAAAGTAAATAAAAAAATTCCACTATCGTAATTTATTGAGTGTTTTTACATAAAAATCGAAACTTTCTCGATCTCGATTTCTAAAAAAAGGGACCCAATATTTATCATACTCTCCATACGATTTATTATATCAAATAGAAAATTAATTTTACCTGCTGGAAGAAAATGAAACAAAAAACAGGCTGAACCACTCAATATAAGGGCCAGAGCAAGAGGTACTCTCCTTCCAAACTTATTAATGATAAATGGCGACAATGCATATCCTGGAATCTCAACAAAAGATACAAGAATAAAGTTGAAGTATTTATTCCCGCCAATAACAACAGAATAAAGTGATAGGCCATAGTAAACAAAAGCGTTAGTAGCCCTGGAAAGAATAATAATTCAATTGTTTTTGTAAAATAATTCTATAATAATTGTGTTGAAGAAGTTCATATTAAAACCAAATAGGTCACTTACCAACAGAAAGAACAATTTAAAATTCTTAATATCATTGTTTTCGATTGGTATATTTTTTTATCAGGTTTAAATTTACTGTCTTCATTATTGATAACATTCTCTGAGTCTTCTATGAGCTAAAACAAGAAGATAAGATAGTTTTTTTGTTTACAAACATTTTTTATTTCAAGAATACAAAAAACAAAAGAATATTAACACATTAGCATGCATATTTTTGATACATTTACACACTTACCATGTCTTATGTATTATAACGATACTTATATTCATTTCATTAATTTTTTGTTATTATTATTGTCAATTAGTTATCCTTTTAATCGCTAGCGGATCCAGGAATTCATCTTGGGGACTGCAGCCCAAAAGCTTTTTTTTTTTTTAAATATAACAATAATTACTTTGGAAGGAAAAGAAAGAAAGAAACTACCTACACGAAAGGGTGTTTAAGTGATTCTTGAAGTCCTGTTAAATGTAATTAGATGAATAATCATACTTTTAGAGATAATGTTTTTTTCGTAACACATGATAATATTTTATCATTTTGGGGGGGGGAGGTTTTCAGGCTGAAGCCTCCTGTTTTTTCTATTGTTACTAATAGCAAATTTACATTATTCTGATATATTATTTTTCATATTATGTTTTTAACCATTAATACATAAAAATGTTTATTTACCGTTTTTGGTATACTATATCATGTTTTAATTATGTTGGTTTATGAAATAAATTTAAGATATTTTGATTTAATTTTTTATTCCTCACCCAATATCTTTTTTAATTCCATACTTTTTGTTAGTACATTAGTTCATTTGAATATTTTAGTTCTCATTGCACATTTGAAGATTTTTTTTTCTGCATATTTAATATTTATTGACTGCAAATTTAATATTTATTTATTGCATATTTTAGGGTTTTTATTGTATATTAGTTTTCATTTTCTACAGATTTTCACAGCATAAAAATCCAAGCTCTGTTTGTAAAAAAATTTAATAACTTTACAAGTAAAAAACAAATATATAATAGATAAAAAATAAATGTAGAAAAGCGAAATTGTTGGACCCAGGCAAGAATAATCAATGAAAATTTCTTCTATTACAGAATAAATGAATGAGGATATTAACTTTGTACTATTTATTCATTTTAATGAGTAAAAATTTGAATAAAAATTGAAGAAAAAAAAAGAAGTTTCAATCAAGGTATGTATAGATAAAATTAAACACTTAATGACCCACTAAAATTGAAATATACAGACATAAGTGTTTCTTTGGAGAAAAAACAACACTGATCATAATACTTAAAAATATCAATTGTAAGGATCATACATAAATTCTCTTAATATATAAATAATGAGGTTACTATCTCATTTTAATTTTTTATTGCGATGGATCTGTCTGTCATTTGTTATCTAAATTAGCAACTTGACATAATTTTCTTAAGAAGTTCAAGCGGTAATAATTAATTCTTTTTTTTTTCTATTTGTTAATGGTATTTTTTTCTATTTTTTTTTATTAGGTGTATAAACTAATAAAACTAACTTCAATATAATATGATGTTTTTTGATAACTTTCCTCACGATTGAAATTTTTGTAAAATAAATAAAACTAGGTTAAATAACCCTACATAGAGTTGCCTACCCTTTAGTAGAAGCAACTAAATAAAAATAAATATAAGAAAGTAAGAAAACTCAATACCGTTTGGACACCTGTCTGTAATTGCTCTATTCCCTTTCTAACATTTTCATCGATTGATTTTTTATTTACTGAAGAAATCCTTTCAAATATTTGTTTTGCCTTTTCGGTTTTCCCATGTGATACGAGCCATCTAACTGATTCTGGCAGTATCCTGAAAAATGAAATAAACATATCTGAAACAAACTTCTTTTCTTTCTTGATCCATTCAAAAAGTTGTATTACACATTAAAATTTTATTTATGATAACAAATTAAAAATATTCCTCATTTATAAAATTTAGCATTAATATCTATACTACTATTCACGTAATGAACATATTCATGATTTGTTGGAGAGTCTTATAAAAGTGAGAAAAAAAATTACATTTAAAGTCCATCCCAGCTCATTTTTTAATTTCAGAGCGGTTAACTTCACATAAATGGGCCAAAAAATAGCAATGAAAAGTTTTGGAATCGGAATAACTTGAATAATAGCAAGATACAACCATTCCTTTACACATCTTAAACTTTTAGCTTTACATTATAATTAATCCGCTTATTGTTTATAATAGTTAATCCATTTAGTCCACTGAAAAAGCCATAAAATATAATCAAATAGTTATTATTAATCTTATGGATTATTTTTTAACATAATTAATCTTTTACTTTATTTTTATTGTTGTTTAGTTATTGAAAAGGTAAAATAGATTTAGAAGTTGTCAGTATATAGGAGGTGTAAACACTAGTGGATAGAATTGGGGAGTGTATTGATATAAAAAATGAAAAAGAGATATACGGTGGATCAGACCCCCCTACCATGCACCGTAGTTTTGTGCCTTTACAAGAAAGGAAATACTAGGAAATTTAACACCCATCGAGATTCATTCATCGTGAACTCATGATTATTTTTATAACACATTTGTCATATATCAGGTTGCCAGCAAGGATGGTGCTGTACAAAACGTATTAGCCCATTCGACCACCCCACCCACTTGTGCTAATATCTATTAGTCTTTCAGGAAAGCTTGTTTTCCTTTCAGATTCCTTCAAAAATCTTTTGCAAATGCACTAAACAGAAAGAAAGCTATTTCCCTTTCTCAATAGACCACTCTATAACCTGCTTCAAAGTGAAGATAGTCCCAATGTGCAACTTCATTAGCAATAAAAAATAAAATGGTTTTCACCATAATAAACCTCGTTTACTTTGACCAGACCTGCTGACATGCCAATTTGCTTTGAAAAAATCTTTCTTTCTGATAAAATGGTCTTCACCATAATAAACCAGCATCGTCCCCTTAATATCATCCAAACTGCTTCAGCATTTGACCCCCTCTTAGCAGCATCTTGAAATAATCCGTTCATCTATCTACTATATATTCGTTTAGCCATGTAATGGATACTGATCCTTGTTTTCTTTTCCGACATTTTGGCACTTCCTTTCTCGTTCGCTTAATGTATTTTTTCCAATTTTTGGGTTTAATTTCGCGTTTTCCCTCATTTTGAGACCAAATACTAACAAGCAGTTCCAGTTACATAGAAGAACTTATAGCTTCGCCCTTGAATGGTGTGGTAGAGACCTGTAGGCACCTGAACCAGTACTGCTTAAATGCATTTGCTATGAAACTGCTTCAAATTTTTCAAAAAATAATCAGCGTTTTAGAAAGAGAAATATATTCTCCAGATGTTTTATTTCAACATGTTTTGCGTTGTTTAAGTGACATATTAGTTATATAATTTATTAATTATAAAAATGAAACAATAGCTCACTTAATATTAAAAAAAAAATCTGAAAATTTTCAAAAAGATATTGATTATAAGATAATTAAATAAAATTTATAAAAAAAATGAGACAGTTTTGAAATTATTATTTTTGATTAGTTATCAAAATTTTTCTATAAAATTTGTACTATATCTATTTGCTGAAAATATTTTTAAAAAGTCAACTTTATTTGAAGAAATTTCTATACAAAATATTATCTAAACAAACCGATTATGTTAAATAATTTTCATTATTAATCTTTAAGAATTTCTTCTGCTGACAAGTTCTTTTTAATATTGCATCACTTAAAAATAAATAAATTAATAATTTATAATTAAAAATGTAAAGTAAGTTAGTGTAAATACCAAAAATATATGACAAATATAAAGCCTGGTATATATATGATCCTTAAAAATTTCCTCCAATCATCTTCAAGCCAGACAATGAGACCGAGCATAATCTCACCAATGGAATAATAACAGCTTAATATAGCACCGCCTAATCCACGCTTACTTGGCCCAGTTATTTCTATTCCTATGAAATAAAATATAACTGTATATATATATATATATATATATATATATATATATATATATATATATATATATATATATATATATATATATATATATATATGAAATAACTATAGTATTTATATTTATTTTGATTAAATATCAACTTTTTTTTTTTTAAATAATCAAATGATTTCAATGAAAAAGATTTTAATAATTTAATTGTCAATATATCCATATTTATAGACAAAGTTAAAATAAAATTGAAGCAAAAAAAAATAAAAGTAATAAAAAGTAATGTTTACCTAAAACGAAAATTCCAATATAAATTCCTGACAATGCTATAGCATCAGCAATTTCGAGTACCAAAAACTGGATATAATTAAATGTAAATGATCTTATAGTACCGAATATGGATGAGCATAAAACAGTTGTTATGATCAAAGTTTTTCTACCAAATCTATTCAAAAAGAAAAAAGAAATTAAATTAAAGAAATTAAATCGCTATACCAAAACATGAAAAAACATCGATTTAATAATAAAAAATTGCAAGATTTTTTAATATAATCTTGTAAGTTTTTGAAAGAATTATATAAAAAAGTTTGTAATTAATTAAGAAATTGATAACTAGTAATTTTTATAATATGAGATATGAATAAAATGTCTACAATTTTATTAAAAAAATAAAATATTGAAAATGGCAAAGACTTTCCATGAATTGATGTTTGTACTTTAATCAGGGCTGAAACTAGAGAGGGACAAAAAGATAATATAGAGGATGAAAAATTTCAAGCAAAAATTGTTCTTAACACAAGAAAAATTATTTTATGTTTTTCATGACCTTAATTCAGTCAATAAAATGAGTTAATGTTATGAGAAGATGGTACTTATTTCGAAACATATTACCTAAAATATTTAACTTTATTGGAAGAGGCAAAATTGAGCTTTATTTTATTCATTCATAAAGTAACAATACCTGTCTGAGAATAATCCAGCTAATGGCATCCCAATAAATTCACCAATATTATGAATGGTACCTACTGAGGTTCTTTTCCATTCATTTTCCTCACAGAATAAATTAAACTGAAAAAAACAATATAAGAAATTTATAATTAAGCCACAAGAATCTATATTAAATATTATTATGCCTGAAATCAAAGTAATTTTGCTGTAAAATATGTAGTTTAATAATGAAGACTTCTTATATTTTCAATTATAGTACCAAAACAGCCAAACAAAATATAAAATAAAACATTTTTATTTATTTTTTTTTTTAATATTAACAGAAATGAGCTAATTTACTGTTTCTTCTGTTTAGTTTATTTTGATGATTTGTTTTATTTAGTTTTTGTGATAATAAATTATTAAAAATATGAATATTCATAAAATATGTATTTGGATAATACAGTGTATATATGAGAGGCTAGAAAGAAATGCTACTATATTTTTATTGGATGTGGTACATAATTATTTTTTTAATGATATTTTGTTTAAGGCAAATTGCTTTTTGTATGGTTATTTATATAATAGATGACACAATTTAGACATAATCATTTGAAACATACCTCATTAACAATAGTAATTTCATTGTTTTTGAAAACGAAACTATGGCATTCTTCGACTTGATCTTTTAAAAAAATATCTTTTGTACACTTTTGATGATAACTATCGTTAGATGATTTGTATCGTAAACAATGGCTTTTTAATTTTCCATCTTTGAAAGGCAGAGCATTGGAAAGCCAGGGATTATCATAAGATGTGATGTTTGTCTCACATGCAGGGACTTTACATCTGAAAAATTAAAAAAAAAAGAAATAAAAATATAAAATTAATTGTTTTTTTTTTTTAATATATTATTTTAGAGAAAAATATTTAATTGAAAGTTGTGCTGCCCTACTACATAGGGTTGCCCTACACAAAGCATACTGATCAATCCATTTGGGCATAATTTATACATTACATTATTCTACTAATATATATATATATATATATATATCCTTCTTTTCCTTCCTGGTTATAATAGTAGTCTTATAAAATATAAACTTATAACTTAAATAAAATGTACACCAAGCCTTACAAACTACACTGAGCCATCAACATTGCATAACATAAACATAAAAAAAAAAAAAAAAATTGAATGTTAAGAATCCAACTCTAAATCACACACACATATATTCACAACTACAGACAAAAAGACTAGAAAATGCTAACAATTTAAAATAGAATAAATAAATAAATGATAAAAGACATCCTCAAGTCATGATAAATTATATATATAGTATATAAGTGATGGTGAATGATTAAAAAAAAAATTTCTACCTGTAATCTATATCACCTGCTGTGAAAACGTAAGTCAGTGATCCCAGAGATCCAAATACCAGAGGAAAAAATAAAAGAACATAAACACCTATTTGATATTTCCCAAATTCTCCAAGTTCAGTTAATATATTGTCGATATCCATATTTTAGAATAGTTATTTTTTTTTTAAATATCTAGAGCAAATATAAATTTCTTGAATGAACTGATAATTATTTTATAATTGATAAATCAAGAAATTAAAATATAAAATCCATTCATAATCACACTGGAACATGTGTTGGTTCTAGCAAGGCCAGACTGTCAACTGTGACCCACTGTGGTGATACAACCACACTGATAGTGGTCCGGGCTGACAATATTTTTTTTAATAGCTTCAAGTTGAATTCAAACAGAAAACATGCTACTCGGGATAAATGTAATCTGAGGCACTTATGATAAATGTTTGTTTTCTAATATTTGCAATTTTAATCATTATAATTATCAAACACTACTTCATTTATTGAACAACCATATACATGGGTTTTGCAAATACTTCAACTGATAATTGGCAAATTATATAATAAGAATAATAAATAATATATTTTCAAGTTGGAACATTGGATTTATTTACTAAGAGGAAAATATATATTTTTTTTTAAGAAATAATACAGAGTTTGAATTTTTTTAGTTTGATCTCAACTTAAATGTTAATTTTTAACCAATAATTCTTAAGTATCTCCAAATGAGACGTAGAATTTAAAGGACAGCCAAATCTATTTTTCTCGAGTGCCCGCTAATGGTAATAGTTCGATGTAATGATTGCACAATTGATTTGTATTTACTACTAATTAAATATTGAAAACAATATAATATTCAAGACAAAATTTTATTTACATGTATAAGGCAGCCAATAACATTTTCGAGCTGACTGGTTTTGGAAGACCATTAGAAATATGTAGTTTTTTAAAACATTTTATTGAGAAATATTACAATCTGTCTCAGTTAAGGACACTTATAATAGAGTTCAGAGATTTACATTCATACCGTATATACAGATATATAAATAAATACAGTAATAACAAAAGAAAAAATAAATAAATAAAAGAACAAAAGAAAAAAATATATACAAACATAAATAAGTAAAAATAAAAATAAAACTAAAACAGACATCTTAGATACAAGCATACCTATATACATTATTTACAATCAGCCAGGTAATCTCCGAACCAATCTTGTCCCCCCACGTGTGGAGGAAAAAGCAAGGCTTAGGAGATCCCTACGTTTCTTTCTCAGCCACTTCACTGGTATTTAAAACCAGCAGAGGATGAGTAAGAGCGCTACAGTCACATACACTCATGACTTGAGTGGAGAATCTGGCCAATGTCAGAACTCCAAAATGTGCATATTTACAAAAGATCTCTTGGCCACTGCCGCTTTAACCTTCAAAGGGGATTGTAGGGATGGGTGGTACTTGATAGGGATTGTACAACGGGATTTGAGTGATGAGAAAGGTTCTGGTGAAATTTGGAAAAAGAAATATATAGTAGTGGAGTGTCTCAGTGAGAAAGGCACTCTATTCTTATTCTCAAGTACCAGGTTTGAGTCTTACAGTTGTTTAATAATTAATAATTCTGTTTTATGAGCCATGGATTTGTCGAGTCAAGAAACATTCTTGGAGCGCACCCAGCCTGTATAAAATGGTTACTCTTAATTAAATAACTAACTAATTACGAACATGATCTAGGCCCATTCATTGGCCGTGAAATGGTACTTCTTTATAAAGTAATATACCCCGAAACTCTTCAAGGATTGTGCGGGTAAAGATGTTTTGTTTGAATATGCAGGTAATTATGTATGTATTCATTGTAATTAATTTCTTAATTTTTTGTTACAATGATATAGTAAATTATACTACATTTTATAGGTAAATTAATGCAACATCTTAGAATCATAAACCATAAAATTTAAGTTAAAATATATAAACCAAAATTTTAAAACAAATCATGAAGCAAGTATAAAAACAAGGAATAAAAAATTAATACTTTAATAATTAAATTTAGATAACTAGCAATGTGAAATACTTTCACCTTATGACATTCTATTACAAAAATAGTTTTTAAAAAAAATTAGAAAATGGATTTGGCTAATTTTAGAATTATATGACTCAAATAATCCTCTTTTGAAATGTTTATTCAATATGATATCTACATGATTATATATACAAATATTTTAGAGCAATTGCATTTTGGGTACACCCTTATAAGTCAATCCAATTTATAAATATGCTTTCAGGCTTAAGGTATAAAAAGGTTTGGTGGAATGGAAAAAACAGATAATGGTTATATAATATAAACACAACAATAATAAAAAAAGTACAATATGCCAAGAAAATGTTTTGTGTTATAAATAAATTTAAAAGATACAAAAATAACTTGTAAAACTATAACCCATGAAGGGTCTTGGGGTCAGGACTATTTAGAGAAAGCACTGTTTCTTGGTTTATAGTTGTGCAAGGAGGTGATTTGACCGAAATCACACTCAACCACCAGGTTTTTCTCATTAATTAATTATTTTAGGGTCTACCTACCAGGTCGCCCCACGGCTATTGAAACAGAATAGATAATTTTTCTGCCATCAGCCAAGATTAGAACCTGGGACCTTTAGCATTGGAAGCTCAGTGCCCTACCACTGAGCTACCCCACTCCCTAAATGAAAAAGATAAGTATATCAAAAGTAAAAATAAATAAATCAAATAATTAGTGTAAATAAAATCATTAAATAAATAGTAAATATGCAAAAACAATGTATAGAAATAAAAATTAACAAATATGAATAAACTACGTATAGAAATAGAGTTAAATAAATATAAATAGTTTCTTAACAATTACCAACGATTTGAAGCCAGATAAGGACTGATTATTTACAGAAATCATAGGGTTTTGAGTGGGATGTGTGGAAAATAGGGTGTGTTGTAACGGTTATTTAAAGGCCATTTACAAAAATATTTAAAAAATGTCAAAACTAAATGTAAATGTTAAAAGGTAATAATAATTTAAGAATACATAATTATTTAAGCATAGACAAAAATAGTATATTATAAATAACTAATTTATAACAAGTAATGAATTACAAATAAATAATAATCAAATATATTTGATTCCTTCTATCTGTTACAATCATGCGTTAAGATAATTAAAAAAACAGCTGTTAGAAAACTAAAAAAATAAAAACAGAGGGAAACTATAGTTGACCTAATGATTTGTAAAATTATAAAATATTTATTTTATTTATAAATATTAATGTAATAAAAGAAAATTTATAAAAAAAAAATCATAATAAAAAAGTTACAGCTACACTGTAAAATATAACTTGCTGTGACAATTCTTAATGTAAAAAAAAAATCTTGAATAAATAACTCGTCCACCATACTCCCACATTTCTCTCGAATTGACAACCAGTATCTTAGACAACAAGAAAATTATATGTAAAATTATATTATACACAGAACGAAAAAATATCATTGAAAATATTTAAAAAATCATTTTATTATTATTTATTTTGAGACATTTGTGAAAAGTGTGTTAAGTGCAATTTTGTGAGTTTTTATGGATATCACCACAAAGCTAATTTTTCTCTCTTTTGTTGTTTCTAATAGGCTAAATTAAGCTTCTATAACAAAGATGAATATTGCTTTGTGAATCATGGATTGAAATTAAAAAATTGCACCTGTGAATATTTCAAACATTGGATTGCGTTTTTCCATAAATATGATTTTTGCACTTAACACACCACGTACAGGTACACACAGATTTAAACAATTATATAAATTTGACAGGTTTGTAATTTGCCATCTACAAAGTTTTTTTGTAATAAGCAAATCTGTGTGCATTTATGGGTAGGAATTAGAAGTAAGAAAGTTTCTTGGTAACTGCCTTAAAAATTTGGGTATTTGTTGTTTTATATTATTTTGCAGTCGGAGGAGCATGTTATTAGGAAAATTTCACAACACTACTAGCGGATCCAGAATTTATTTTTTGGGGGAGGGCTACAGCTTGAAAGCTTTTTTTTCATATATATAACGATAATTATTTTGGAAAAAAAAAGAAAGATACTAACTACCTTTATAAAATGGTATTTAAGAGATTCTTGAAGTCCTATCCACACATTTATTATTACAGTAAGGCTCAAAATCTGTTTCGTACCAAATATAAGCTCCTGTAATGCTCAAATGGGGTACAGTTGGATGCAGAATTTTACTGGGGTTTTGTGAATCATACTCTCCGTTTTTGTTTTTCTTTCTAAAATAAATAAAGTCGAATAAACATCGGGTAGGCTTCTCCTTCAGATGGGCAAAATAATCCAATCATCCCGAAAATTCAGGCAAAAAAGTTATGAATGAAAAGAAACTTTATTTGCGAATAACTCGAATATTACACACTTTTACATTATATAAAATATTACTGAATTTCCTACAAAATGAAAAAAAAAAAATCATCGAAATCGGACAATTTTTAGCAAAGATACATTGAAATTTGTAAACATGTTGGTTCCAAACATTAATGAAGTTTTTAATTAATTGTTGTTTTCTTTGTTGATTATATTTAGCGAGAAATTAACAATTGATTTCTTTTATGATACATTGTTTTATTTTCTTATTAATTCATCATTTGATCACTGAATAATATTAGTCCGTGGTACAGATCCCTTTTTATCAAATTATTAACATCCGGCCGAAACTTAATAAATAGCTTCATCTCATCTTAACCTACAAATATTTTATTAACGAAAATTCTCGGAATCGAGGCGTTTTAAATTTGGAGGTCGGCACACTTTGTCTATTTAATTAGGTGCTAAAAAATCGTAAATACCCATTTGCATTCCACTGTAATGGTGAGATAACTTGAGCACAAAGTCGAGAAAAAATATGATGTTCAAACATATTGAGCCGTTTGGCCTATATAACCTCGTTATTTTGACAATTTGAGGGTGTAGGTCACGCAAACGGCTCAATATTTTTGAAGGCCACATTTTCTCTCGACTTTGAGCTCAAATTATCTACCAGGCTAATTTTTCATGGTGCGTTTAAACATTCCACAAAATATGGCATGAACAAGTAATATATAAATGGTTATTTCACTATACTAGTAATCTTGTTTCTTGTCTTTTATATTATTCATCTGCTGTTAGTATCAAGAGAAATAAAATAAATAGTCTGGTTTAGCAATAATGTCGCT